TGAACATCGTTAAATAAAACATCAAACTATCCAATGACACAGTCGTTCTCGAACAGTGAAAGCCGCATCTCTCTATCTTGCTCCCATCAAAAGTTATTCACAACCAAAAGCTGACTGACAGATGACTTTTGGATCACCAAATAATATATGATAATCTACAAGTCATCAATGGTTATAATAATAAAATAAACGAATCGAGTATATAATACATTTTTGTTTGTGTAAAGGAAATAAAATATATTTGTATATCATGATTTGTATATTTCATATTGGTTTTATCGCAATAGAACTCTTCTGATAACGACATCAATATCCTTTTTATTTTCCGCTTCCATCTGGAAATGATGAACAGATGTTGAATGTAATCAGATGACTATCTATCGAAGAAACATATTGCGTTGTTAATTTTTAGAAAAGAAATATTTATTTTCATAAAATATTTGTTAATTATTTCATTTCAATGATTTTACCCTTTTCTCTAAATTATCACTATGATAGAAAAGTTATCATTAACATGAGATCGATTAGCTAGTGACTGAATTATAATAATTTCAAAACATTATAATAAACTTATCGAGGATTATAATTAACAGATAGAAGATCTTTTTGAATAAAAATTATCGAGATGATTCCATATGATATTGCATGAGACTTTTTATAGAGATTATTTGAATACACGACTTTATTAAAAGTCATATTTTTGATGATGTCTGGCAATATGTCAATTGAAAATAAATACAAGCAATAAATTATGAAGCACGTAAGAGCAGAAAGTTCATTATTAATATTATTGTTTTCATTGTCGTCATGTGGATTTATGATTTTTCCAATTTTACAAAATGATTTCCATCTGTTCAGAAAATTAAAAAAAAACACTCATGATTTATATTAAAACTCGGTTAGAAACAACTCTTTCATATCATTCCATTCTCGTGGAATTGTAATGTCTCACTTTCTTATTTTACTTGTCTGCTTTATTCTATTTCGTGATTCGTTGAATACTGTTCAAATTCTTGGTCTTTTTCCTGAATATCATCATGCACCTTCTCAGTATTCGGATGCAGATCAAAGTTCCCATTGGACAACTCAATCTATGGAAATGTTTCGCGCAGCTATTACTCTTGCCGATCGCTACAAGATCTATGTGGGTGGTAATCCTATCAATTATACTATTCTTCAGACAAATAGTAATGGATTTGCCGAACTTGAACTCGTCTGTCGATCAATTACTAATACAACAGTACCCGATATTCTAGGTGTTGTCGGACCAACAACTTCAACTAATGCACGTTATATTGGTCCATTTGTGGCACGTATAGGTTTACCACTTGTTTCTTACACAGCAACTCATGCTGCTCTTGACGATAAATCTAACTATCCAACATTTTATCGTACTATTCCTTCGGATATTCTTCTAGCTGAAGCTATTGTGAAATTGTTCAAATATTTTTCGTGGGAAACTTGTTCAATGATTATTGGAAATGATGATTATGGTTATGGTGGATTGAAGCTAATATCAGAAGTTTATTATGCAAATTTGTCAATTAAAGAACGATTAATATTTGATCCACAAAGTGATAAATATCAAGCTGATTTAAAGCAAACATTAGAAAAAAGTCAATCTCGTATTGTACTAGTCTGGGCTAATCATAGTTCATGTACAAAAATTATTCAACATGCACTTCATGCAGGACTTCTTAGAAGAAACTATGTATGGATAACAACAAATAAGGTAAATGTAAAGATATTTTAATTTTTAAATGTTCATCCATTTTCTGAAAGAAATTTAACTATCATTAAAAGAAAAATCTACCGATAGATATGAATTTCTAGAAACACTAATAACTTATTTTATGTCTTATGATCTTTATAGTTTAATCAATTCATTTTAATTGCTATTGTAACACTACTATTTTCAGATTGATTTCAATATGTTCGAACAAAATGAGTGGTTTAATTTAAGTGGTATTCTTACTGTAGTACCTTTCATAGGTAATAGTAGTGCCTTTGGTGTTAACGAAACATTACAAAAAGAAGCTTTCGATGTTTGGCGTAATTTATCACATAATAAAAACAGTGTTCCAAAACTTGCATCTGCTGTCAGTCAAGAAGCAATGTATACATTTGATGCTGTTTGGGCTTTAATTCAAGCATTAAACAAATCAGTGCTTCACAATAAACCACCGTCGATGAATAAATCATTGGCTTGTTTTGATAATTTCTTACAAAATCATGATGAGTATCTTAACCATCTAAAAATGACTCGTTTTTACGGCGTGTCAGGAAATGTTCAATTTTCTAAAGCTAATTCAGATGATTGTACTCATGGTGTCATGTATGGACTCTACAATATACAACCGATGAAGTTGAAAAACAGTGAAGAAACACAAAAACCAACCTATATAAAAGTATTGACATGGTATGAAACAACTAGTAAGTGGATGAATTCTACTGATGAAGACAATAGTTATATCATCTGGCCCAACAACGAAAACACAAAAGTACCTACTCATTATCCACAACTCCAAGGTTAGGAAAAAGTTAATAATTTAATAAAAAAAATCTATTGTCATTTTATAAATAATTAGAAAGGAAAAACAAAAAGAATATTGATAGTAACGAAAAATTAGAAGTTTCCAAACATCATACAAAAATATATGCTCGTCTAACAACGGAACATTCTAAGATATTCATTCATTTTCGAATCACAACTTGATGCATGTGGTAGACTTTAATGAACTACATCTATCAGAAAAAGTATTCGTGCCCGTGAGATATTTCTCAGGAAATCGAACGTGTTTTTAGTTAATTTTGGTTGTAGGGCCTAACATCGCTGGCAGACTATACTTTCGAATTCTGATCTTAAACTTTGCTCAGATAAAAATGTCAATAAGACTAGCTTGCATTAAAAATTTCAGAAGTTTTGAACTAAATCTCTTCGAGATATGAAACTTTTGAGATATAAGTTCTTTTCAATAGAGAACATATTTACTGCATGTATTTTTTTAAAGTTTGATAACTCAGAAAAATTTATTTTGAAAATTTGGAAATTTTTTATGCAACTTAATCTAATTTCAGATCGATATTTGAAAGTATGATCATGCTTCAATATCGGATTCTACAGCTGAAATTAACCACAAATGTTCGATCTCCTCAGAAATATATCAATAGACATCTAAGAATGTTCCTTAATAAAATCAAACTTCTCAATATTCTTTGTTCTTATCTATTATCTTTTTATTTTAATACAAAATAAAGTCAAATGTATAGGTTTTTAAGCAATGATATGATTTCCATACATTATATTTAGGTCAACATTTGCAAATTCTCGTCATTGAAGCACATCCATTCGTTATAGTACACAATTCTTCGACTGATAATCAATCCTCAAACTATGATACAAACTTAGAACAAGTCAGTTCTCGTTTTGATCCTATGAAAACTAACGATCCAAAAATTTTTATTTATGGATTTGTTGCTGATTTCATTCGTGAACTCGAGAGGCATATGCATTTTACTTACACAATTCATGTAGCTGATCCAACAACGGCCTATCATTCTCTTATTACATTAGTAGCAGGAGATAATCGTCAATATGATATGATTTTATCTAATATTGCAATGACTTCAGATCGTATGCTTAAAGTTGACTTTTCAACACCTTTTTACGATAATACTTTTCGAATTATTACTCGATTAAATCCATATTCATCACCACTTAGTCTTTTCTCATGTTTTAATCCATTTACTTGGGATGTATGGGTAGCAATATTTGTAGTTATAATTTATTCAAGTATTATTATTTATATTTTTGAATATCAAAATGGAAACATTGAAAATAGTCAACCTGAATTAAAGGCTATTTGTACTGGTATATTTCATGGATTAATTAGTATTTTAATCATGAATGGTGATATACGTTTAACAACGACTTCAAGTCGATTAACAATTTTAGGTTTATATGCATTAGGTGTTATTCTTATTGCAACATATACAGCTAATCTTTCATCTTTTCTTACGTTACATCGTGGTAAACCATTTATTTCTGGTATTGATGATATCAAAAATGGTCTTTTACCTTTTTCACGTATTGGTATTGTTAGCAATACGTCTGTATCCGATTATTATATACGAAATATTTCTACTAAATACTATTCCCTTACAACAGTTGCAGATACGTACCCGCGATTACTTGATTATACAATTGATGCATCTATATGTGATTCATCTGTACTTGAATATGCTGTCAACAATTATTATTGTGATGAATTAACTTTAACTGGTGTTAGTTTTGTTAAATCACCATTTGCTATTGCGTTACCTAAAGATTGGCTATACAAGACAGATTTAGATCGCAATATATTAGCATTACGTGAATCAGGAAAATTAGAATCATTAGAAAATACGTGGATAAATCATCGAGCATGTTCATTGTCGTCATCATCATCATCATCATCAAGCAGTTTGGATCAAGTTAATGATCAAAACAGTGGAACGTTTTCACTCAATGTCTTAGGTGGACTCTTTCTTACATTTTTTATAATAACTGCGATTGCTTTTGGCTTTCATTTATGGAATTGTCGAGTAGTTATCATCAACACATTTCATCAGACAATGAAACGAATAAAACTACCGATAAGACTAATGCCAATAAGATGTTAATATAAGACTGTTGGATAATGTGTAATGACTTATAAAAACAATACTAAAAAATTTTGTAATATCATATATGATTGCCTTTTCCTTATTCGAGAAAAATAAAATATATTTCAAATGAATACACAGGTTTTTATTGATAATTTTGATGATCTTTGAAAAATAACAATTAGATCAATCGATTTATAAAATGAAATCATTTAACCATTGTTTTATCTAACAAAATAAATGATATATAGAATTGTGTCTTCGAAAAATTCACTCAAAGTAAATTATGCTGATACTTAATGTGCCAATCCTTATCTAAAACTGCAATTTGTTCTGATAGAGAAGATCATTAAAGAATTGTTTCATAACGATCTTTAAACATGCTACATAGTTCTAATTATCCTATTAACACTAGAAGAAACCGATTGTTATTACTTTTTCCTTCGTAAGCACATTTCGTATTTTCTTTCGACTCTTTTTTTAGACTCATTTATATAAAGAGTCCTGCATATTTAATCAAAAATATTGACTCTTCCTATCAGTTATTAAAGATGAATCCAAATGTTTGCTGAAGTGATCATCGTTTCAAACTTGTGATTGTCTTTATGTTGATCAGAGATTCATTATTAATTCGATAGTTTTAAGTTGTTTTAGCCTTATAAGAACGTAAGAAAGTATACTGCTTCAATTTCATCCCAAACCAGCAAATAAAGATTGTTACCTTTTGTTGCTTATTGCTACTCTTGCCCTTAGTACTGTTGACAATGGTACACGCAAGCCAACATTCTAATAATATATATATGTGTAATGGATACCTCTCATTTGCGAACATGAAGAAAACAAGTTTTTAAGTAAATTAAAATTTTTAAAATTTCGTTTAATTTAAATTTAATACGTTTATTGATTTTTTGTAAAACAATTAAAGTTTATATTTAACTTTTAAAAATTCGATCACTGCGAACGAATATTGAAAGTAAATTGTTTTAAAAGATTTTTATAAAAATTAATTTTTTTACTAAGCATGCTGCAATTTGAAGAGGTCGTTAGTTTTTTGACAATAAAAACTTCTTAAGATTCAGATAGTTACTGCAATTTGTAGAGAACGTAAGGGTTTGATCAGAGAAGGTTTTTAAATTTAGCACTATTGCTGTAATTTGCAGAGGACGTTAGATTTTAGTTGAACTAAAATTTTCCTTTGAATCTAGCTCCGAAGAATTTCAATTGGAGTCAAACATAGAATGTACTAGCTGGTTTTTTTCTTTTGTTAAACTAATACTCATAGTGCACGAGCAAGGGATCGTTGCTTTGAGCTACACTAAGAACGACTTTAGTTAAAGACAAAGCGAGTTTTTAAGGAGATTGTATCATAACTTGTTGTGATAATTTGATATGTGTTCCAACTGTGGTGTGGGCGAATCGAACTGTATTCATCAAGAGAAGATGCTCATTAACATCTATATTTCTGAGCTGTTTTGTTTAGAACATCATTTCTTGTATTTATGATTTTTATGTATAAATACTTTTGCATCCCAATCAATTATATCCATTCAATGTTTGATTGCATTTTACTATCATAATTATGTGATCTGTTCAAAATCAAAAACAGCTGATGGCCTTCATAGTAACAATGATGTCTGACGAACTCTATAAATTGCAGTCAATTAAGAATAAGAAAATCACTATTATATTTTAGCGCACTCTACAAATTACAGCTCATTAAGTTGAAATACTGGAACTCAACATCTAGCGAACTCTATAAATTTCAGTAATTACAAAGAAAAAAAAGCATTATTGTAGTTTAGGGCACTCTACAAAGTGCAGATCGTTAAATTGAAATAATGAAATTGAATTTTTAGCGAACTCGATAAATTTCAACAAGTTTAAAAATATAATTGAAATTTTAATTTGTTTTGAAAATTTATATCAGTAAATTTTTTTTTGAAATTTAAAAACAAAAAATTTCAAAGTTAAGATTATTTTAAATTTGAATAAATTAAATTTAAAAAAAAAAGCTGAAATTGAATTTAACAGATTTTTAATTTCGATTTTATGTTCGCAAATCCGAGGACACGAACGGGGGGGGGGCTTCTGTTAGACAGGCCGGGAACATGAACACGGGAATCGGGAATGAAAAAAGGTTGTTCCCGCGGATCTCTAATAATGACACATCAGAGTCATTTAATTCGATCTTTGTATGATGCTGACGATTTGGAGTTGGTTCCTTCTTATACCAGGTGAGAAGTCCTGATCATCCATATCATGTCCTACTTAGTGTTTTTTTTACAGGTTTCTACATGATCCTGCCATATGGACACTTCAAACAATTCAAGAGCGCAACATAGTTATTAATAAGAACTATTCGTTTCCTCATAAATCACAACCAATTACACCTGTCTTCAATGTTTCTGATCAGACTGGACAAAAGCCGGTTCAACGAAGAAGCAGCACTACTTCTGTAAAAAGTCGAAAAAATAAATAAATCACGAGCATTTTCATTCAAAATAAAGAAAAATCGAGTTATTTCATTTTTGTCACATTTTTAATATATTTTACTTCACAGGAACAACGTAAAAAGCTTGTACGATGTATACTCAAGTGCGATCTGTTCAAACAGCCGATGTTCGCAGATTATCTGAATCACTTTCTTGGTGTTCGTAGACGATTATATATGTCACGGTGCGGTTAAAAAAAATGTTCGTAGATATTTATAGATACACTTTCGACAGAGTAGTACACGTTTTGCGTCAATATTAGTTAAAATGAGTGCTTATTTTCATTGGACTGGTGTTCGCAGGTGTTCGTGAGCACAACTCATCGAGTTCTATCTGCCTATATAAATAGATTTAAGCTATCTTTCCTTTCAAGGTGTTCGCAAGTGTTCGCGTATTTGACAGATATCCGTTGCTTTTGCTGTTACTTCTATTGAAATAGATAATTAATAAAAATCATGTTTGTAATGTTCAAGATCAATATTTTTTCTTTTTCTCTCAATCATCAGTGTCATTATTTGATAAGAGATTCTATCGAAAAAGAATATACGTAACACTTCACAACCATACATGCTGATGTAGAGAATGATGGTGTAGATCGAAGAGAGCCATTGCTCTCTCTTACAATATCCCTATTATTTTATGTCTATAGTTCGACTTATAATGTATACGATGATTTTTCTAAATTCTCAATAGTTCTAGATTCGACCAAAACAAACAGAAATTGTGTTCAACTGGATTGTCGATCAGAAAAACACAGCTAGTTCATTTTTGTGAGAATAAATTGTTCTAAAACTAATATAGAAAAATCATTGGACACCATTGTTATGTCGTGTACTGCACTAGCTTGGCGATTCTTTTTATTCAGTCTCATTTAAATTTTCTTCAATATTAAAGTAATATTACCTGGTGAACATTGTTATGTTGATCAATTCACGTGCAATCATTAGGAAAGTGAAGCGCAAAAACGAATGGAAATTTTTTAATTTTCGCTACATTAAAATAATTATATTTTTGGAAACAAATAACAAATGGGATTGTCTCGATCATTTTCAATCTCAAATAAGATTCTTTAAAGCAGTTTTCACCAATAAAAATTGTTGCGACGTTGTTAGCTATTTTTATTTTTTCACATCTGTGATGGCTTGCATATACGTATGTACCTGTATGTGTATGGAGAAGAAATGATAAGAATATAGCAATTAATTATCGTGCAATAAATAATAGTACGATCGTTTTCAATAGAAATGACTTTAAATTCATAAAAAAAATCGAATAGTTTCGACAACATGCCATAAGAAAACGAGTAATTTACTCAAAATAATTGATTAATAAAAATGTATACTTTGTCGAATTTCATTCATATATTAAAATCGTATCACTCTAGTTATTTGAACATCAGATGAATTCTACTCTTTTGATAAATGTAAAGATTAGTCGAGTTCAATACAACTACGTAATAAATTATATATAGAGATACATGGATATTACATATAATCCTTTTGAAAAGTATATGCTATACGAGAAAATCACCATGTTTGCTCACAAATTAAATCAAAGATATATTACTAAAGTATTATTGTGAAAATAATGAACGATTTTTTTAATCAGCAAATCAAATATTTACACTCTAGCCCTTGTGCCAGCAATGCTTCCGATCATCGTATGTATAAACATTAGCATCGAACAATATATGTGCTCTTTTCGATAGGATCTCTTATCGAACATTGGTACTGATGAGTGAAAGAAGAAAAGGAAAAAATATTGGTCTTGAACATTTCAATCATGATGTTTATTGATTATCTATTTCAATAGAAGTAATAGCAAAAGTAATGGATTTTTTAAATCAATAAAGAAAATAAAATAACCAGAAACTCAATGCATATTTTTGAACGATAAATAAAGCTTCAAATATTCAATTTTCAAATACATATTTCTCTCAAAATAATAACCAAATATGATTTCATGTAAGTATTTGATTTTTATTCAGAAAGATTCTTTCAAATTAGTAATTGTTTCTGAATTCAACTAAAATGCTATCATCATCCCGAACAATATGACAAGATTTGTTTTTCTTTCGCTATCGGTTAGACATATACACTGAAAAAAAAATTGGTACGATACCAAACCAAAAAGAGTATCGTGAACGAAAAAAAGGTTTCGCACATAGTACGGAACCTAAAAAGGTTTTGAATTCGTTTCAATTCTCTGAACCACTTTAGGTTCGGTACAAACCACTACGAAAAACTTGAAAAAGTGTCCTGAGTCAATGACAATCAATTTTAGTCACTCAAAGTTTTGTACGAAACCTTTTGAAGGTTTCGTATTGCCATCCAAAATGGTTCGGTACGCTGCAAAAGAGTTTGTATGATTACGGTACTGTTAACGGTGATACCTGTTCTACCCCTCGATGCTTTCGTTCTCTCTCTTCTCTTTGTTGTTGTACAACTATTTCTTTTCTTTTTTTCTCTGTTATACTATGCACTTCAAGGACATTTTTATATATATAAGATGTTTCTTCTTTTGAAA